AGTGATTTTAATGTTAAAGACTTTATTTCATATTTTTTTTTTCAGCTTTGAACCAGGATATACGGATTTATTTGCAATTGCATCCGTATCCGATTCCTTCATTAAGTCAACTTTGTCGTGTTTCGAAGTTCAATGATATGTTGTCAATAAACGGGTAGATTAAAGCAAATTTGAATGAGCTTGCTCACTACTGTTGTTCCAAAATTTAAAAATATCAGTTGGACGAAGCACCAAAATTACACACACCAAAATAAAACACATGCCTTTCGGGAGAAAACCGCCAAAATTCCCGACGCCAAAATTTCCCAATTTACGGTATATTTTTATATAAACTATCTGTGGCTATCTTAACTTTATAAATATCAAGCATATATTCACTTTATAGCTACCAACAATGTATGGACACAATATCAGCACAACAAAAAGGTGATTCAAATTGTTAAAATAATTATATACCGCTTCAAGTTAAATTCATGTATTAAGATATAAGAAGATGTGGTATGAGTGCCAATGAGACAACTCTCCATCCAAGTCACAATTTGTAAAAGTAAACAAATAGGTCAAAGTACGGTCTTCATCACGGAGCCTTGGCTCACACTGAACAGTTAGCTAAATATGCTCTAAAAATAGCTAGTGTAAAACCATTCAAACAGAAAAACCAACGGTCTAATCTATATAGAAAACGAGAAACGAGAAACATTTATAAACTACATCAACAAACGACAACCACTGAACATCGGGTCCCTAAACGTTTTAATAGGAACCAACCTTCACACTCACCTGAAACATTAGTGTTACATCACAACATAGAAAGACGCAATATAAAACATCAATTAAAATGACTTAACTCAATCAAAAGACATATGAACACAAACAAGTGAATATACACTGAACGAATAAATTTGATCTGAAGGCACAATGTAAATACAAAATCAAGAAAATAAGGGGTGAGATAATAAACAATTTCAGACAGTCAACCATAACCTTTAACAAAATGACGCAAAGTAACCATGTAAACCTTGAACAAACCTTGAACAAACCTTGAACAAAATGCCGCTCAATAGAATAATGTACACAGGTAACTGAAAATAATTTTGAACGGAAATATTTTTTACAAAATGAATAATTTTGTTGTTCATAGTACAAGAACATTTATAGTCATGCCAAAGCTGTTATATATCAAAAATAGAGAGACGAAATATAACTATAAATAAGTAATTATTAAATGACCAAAAAGCATTACAAATTGATTCAACAGGTCAAATAAACACGAAAGTACGATTTGAGAGTTCTCGCAATTACTGAAAGCTAGGTAAAAGCCAAAAACAATTGATAATAAAAAATCATGCATCATCAGAGACTTAAATCAACTAAAACACATCTCAGGGATTTAGTGTTTTAACGTCATGGACAGTCAAAGAAGACATGACTTTTGCAATGCCAAAATAAAAGTATCTACAGGATTTGTTTATTTTAGCATCTTTTGCACAAACTTTTAATTGATAACAGGTTGATATTTAAATGCACATGAAAAAATAAAATCAATAAAAAAACATCAAATGAATCAACTTGAAATGACCAAACATGAGTTTGCAAATCTTTTTTCATTAATCCTTTTTACGAATTCACCTTGAACGGTTGATCAAGTTTTAATCAAAAGCATAATCTGTATTGGAAATTTTGACAGTCTTATCAGGTCTCAAATGCATGCAGTCACTATCAATCGAACCGGGACTGGAAATCAGAAAACGTCTTAATCATTTAATGTGTTTCTCTTGAGAAAAATTATGTCGATAAAAAATTGATTAGACGAAAATTGCGGTTTCAGACCGAAATCTGGGTACAAGTATTAATCACATCATATCTACACAAGCCAATTGATGGAGAAATTATGTTGATATGTACACAAATGTTTTGATTCAAAACGTTGAAGGATATTAACTCATCATTGTCTTTCAAATGTTTACAAATTTTAACACATTTTACACTAATCAAACATATTTTGTTTTTACCTAATCCTGAAAACAATCGAAAATTAACATTAACATGGAAGTAAAACTAATTTCATGTAGCAGACGACGGTATTTTGACACCTAGATGACTGTTTCCGAAACAATGGCATTAATTATATTTTCAATTGCTGACAAACATTCTTTGACATTTACATCGTTACAATGAATGTTGGTACCCAAGAAATAGTTGGTTCCACGGCCAGAACTGTTCTCAGATAACAATAAGAGTTGTATTCTTTTATAATTTTTAAAAGCTGCGTGATTAACCTCTTACATGTGTTTGACTGGGCATTAATGTATTATGCTTTAAATAACATTAACGGTACTAGATCATCTGCACCAGACAATGTTTTTTCATTGACGCCGGATTCTATTAAGATGTAAAAACATTCACCGAAACATGTTTAATGTAAAGTGATATTAATCTCGTTATAACACAATTACATTTAAACTCAATGTGGGCTATATCAAATATTTTTTTAGGTTTGATTTAAACTTAAAAGTTATTTTCATATTGTTGTTAATTGTCGTGAATACCACGTGCAGTAACGTATGTTATAGTTGGGTGTTATATTTGATTTTGACATTAAACCTCAATTTCAAACACCACATGATTGTTTTATCTCAATCACAAATATAATAAAATCATTTTAAAGCATTTATTGAAAGCAATAAGCTGTGCTGTAAAAATGAAAATCCATCAATAAAAAATTACACCGTTAAAATACATGTTAAATTAATAATGTTGATCAAAAATTAGAATAACAGGAATAACGAAGTACATTGAACATTGATAATCCTTTATCAAATGGCAAAATTAAAAGCTCATACACATACAAAGAATGGAAAACAAATGTCATACTCCTAACTTGGTACAGACATTTTCCTTGTATAGAAAATAATGAATGAACCCTGGTTTTAAAGCTAGATAAATCTCTCACTTGTTCGAAAGTCGCATAGATTGCACAATATTGACAACAATTTGTGAGGGAAAAAATAGGTAAAAATGTCAAAACCTTTCTAATAAAAATATTGTTTATAATTTGCTGGTATCGGTGTTCCTCAATCTACATACCTTTAGCGCGAACGTCAAAAAAAGATTTCATCAAATACGACAACTTGAAACAAATGTCAAAAATTGTGACACAGCAGCCAACATTGTGTCATAATCTTAATCACTATAAAAACAACTAACTATTACAACAAAGAAAACAAAATGGCATATATACACTCTATTGTCAAAGAACATAAACAAAAATGAAAGACAAGAGTTTAAAATGACAATAGCACATACCGAAATGGCGGGATGTATAAGTTTCATACCGCGTCAAAAGTATGTTACCAAAAATGGCAACACAGTAAAAGTCTAAAAAAAAAAGACAATTAATAAGAAGAATATAAGACGTAATTAAAATGATAAACAACCTATAATCTATACTTCTATACTATCATGGATAAATTGTGTACTTGATCCTGAAAAAAGTCTTGATATCTTCCGATAAAAAATATTCCAATAGATTTCATACTTACAATATACACTGACCAATAATATGAATACTTATTTACGCTCCCTTACATCTGAAATATAATCAATTATGTTATACTCTAAATTGTTTCAACAAATAATTACAATAAAAAAAGTAAAATCACAAAAATACCGAACTCCGAGGAAAATTCAAAACGGAAAGTCCCTAATCAAATGACAAAATCAAATGATAAAACACATCAAAAGAATGGACAACAATTGTAATATTCCTGACATGGTACAGGCATTTTCAAATGTAGAAAATGGTGGATTGAACCTGGTTTTATAGCGCTTAACCTCGTACTTGTATGACAGTCGCATCAAATTCCATTATATTTACAACGATGCATGAACAAAACAGACATAATAGGTAAAATAGTCACAAAAAAAAATAATACCATGACAAAATAGTCATCATGAAGTAAACATACAGTTATCACCAATATATGTTAAAATTTATAACAGGATATTACTAGGCCAGATGTTCGAAACCAGGCAGAATTGAAAGTAAATAAAACGTAATCGCACAGAAGCCTTTACCTCAACATTATTTTGATAGTAAAATATTTCTCTGAAAATAAACTAACTTCATTTCAAACACGACATAAGTGTTCTGTCATTATGAATTTTTCATACTTAAAGATGTCATCTTTTGAATTGTAGTAATTTCCACTTTGCCAGGTAAAGATTTTCAGGAAAAAATACAAACTTTAGTATTTTTGTTTTATATTTTTTTCTTTCCTTTTTTGTCAGTAGTCAGGATTTTACAATAGCATTACAATCACCAACTGACTACTTTTTTTGGTAAACATTGAATTATATAGTCAAGACTATCAATTTTGGTTTTACAAGAATATTCTCACTGAAAAAAGACTTACAACACCCAGTCATTGCAATTTTATCATAAATGCATTAGTATGCATGCATGTCTTTACAAACTAGGTAAAATGCAAATATCAGCTGTTTGCTACATATAATTTAAAATCGACTGAATGATAATAGATCACAAACAATATTGTGTGAAGTGAAAACACTTGCTCAAGTTTTTTGTTTGCAATTTAAAATTCAGTAGATTGTTATTGTTTTATTCTTGATTACTTTTACTATTACACTAGGAGCTAACCAAACTCTAATTCTAAATCCTAACATAATCTCTTTCTTACTGATGCTGAATTGATAATCATATAATTAAATTTCCTTTACCAATAACAACTAAAAAATTTGATAACATTAGACTCATAAGCAAAAGACATAAGGTAGATAGACTTATTTCCTTCTGCTTAGTGATATTTAAAATGTATCTGAAGGTAAAACTATATATCCTTTATACCGTTTTTTTTTTAATATACTTAGTATATATTTATTGATCTCTTCACTATTTTTCAGAATACAAAAATACTTAGACCATTCTAAGATTTCATTAATTGCCACTCCCTCCAATTTGAAAATAAAATCTCATTTCATCTACAAGACCGCAGTACACAAATTCTAAATGTTTATTTTTCATGATTTTTTTTTAGAAAATGCATAAAAAAATATTTTTTTTAAATATATATTGGAATGTTAGATAATATTTTGAAGTACATCAAAAGAATTTCGATATTACGTTTTTGTCTTACCGTTTGAAATGTTCATAAAGCTTTGTCTTGGTAATCTTCAATTTCTTTTATTGATAGTATTCCATACACTTAACATATTTATATTCTTTATAAGCAATATTCAATTAAAAAGGCATTTAGCAACTCTGTTTATTAAGTTATGCCGTTCAATATTTAAACTGACGCGGAATCAGACCTTTCCATGAGAGTGAAATACAATCCGTAATTTGAAATGATTTCCTAATTTAACACTATATGAATATTCTTACAGCAACGGTTATTACTGAAATTAAGCTGAAGGTCAAAGGTAAATTTGATATTCTAGATTTTGACCTTTGCTAATGATTCATATTATATATGACAAAGTTATTTGGTCTTTTGCATCAGGATGGTAGAAACATGACCTTGAAAAAATATCATCGAAAGTTGACCTTTTCTTAAACCGGAATTAACAACATAAATCTCTTACTAAATACAAAAATTTATAAAAACTATATATTTTGAGAATCAGCATAAAATAAGCTATTACTTGACTGAGGAAAATTCTAAGCGGAAAGTCCCGAAGCAAATGGCAAAATCATAAGCTCAAACACACCAAACGAATGGAAAGACCTTCAATTTTTTTCTGAACAATTAGTTTTTATTTTTAATTGTTTTTCAATTTTAGACTTTCTGTAAGAAGATTGACAATTTCCAAGCAGTGCAAGGTACGGGCTATATCTAATGGTGTGAAACCTCTTTTATTACACATTCTTACATCTGCATTCCTTGCAATTAATAGTTTCACAATTTCAATACAGTCTTTATATTTTTTTTCATACGCATCTTCATTTGATCCAAACTCATCGAAAGGGTCAATTTTGCAAGCCGCATGTAAAGGTGACTGTCCTCCTGGTTGTTCACATTGACAGACATCAGCATTTTTCTGAAGTAACTGTTTAACTATGTTTGGATTTCCTCCTTTACAGGCCACGTACAACGGAGATTCTGACCAATGGTCACACTGAGAAACATCAGCTTTGTTCTCAAGTAAAACTTCAACTATATCTGTATGTCCTTTTCTACAGGCCACATACAATGGAGACTCTAACCATTGATTACACTTATTGACATCGGCATGGTTCATTAGTAACAGTTGAACTGTACCCTTATATCCTCCTTTACAGGCTATATACAATGGGGACATTTCCCACGTGTCACATTGATGGACATCAGCATTTTTTGTCAGTAACTGTTCTACTATATCAGTATATCCTTCTGCGGATGCAATGAATAAAGGAGACTGCCCGTCACGATTAGACTGAGAGACATCGGCATCTTTCTGCAGTAAAAGTTTCACTGGCTCTGTATGTCCTCCTCTACAAGCCGCATACAATGAAGACTCTGACCATTTGTTATTCTGAAACAAATCAGCTTTGTTCTGCAGTAACAATTCCACTGTACCTGTATGACCTTTTTCGCATGCCAAATACAGCGGAGAAATTCCCCTTAGGTCGGACTTAGATACATTAGCATTGTTTAGCAACAGCACGTGCACTATATCTATATGCCCACCTGCACATGCCAAATACAATGGCGACTTTCCATCACGGTTACATTGTGAGACATCGGCCTTCCAATGCAGTAAAAGTATGACTGTGTCTTTGTGTCCCTGTAAACAGGCCACACCCAATGCATACTGTCCGGTACTATTATACTGAGAAAGGTCAGCATGATTTTTCAGTAAAAGTTCCACTGTTTCTGTGTGGCCATATCTACAGGCGACATATAATGGAAAGTCTCCATTCCGTCTACTCTGCAAAACAGCAGCATTGTTCTGCAGTAGCCGTTCCACTATAATTGTATGTCCTCCTTTACACGCAGTATACAATGGAGACTCTCCCCTACTCGTACAACGAAATATATTAGAATTGTTTTGTAGTAGCACATTCACTGTTTTTGTGTGTCCAAGTTTACTGGCTACATACAATGGAGACTCTCCAAATCTGTTACATTGAGAGGCATTAGCATTGCTTTTCAGTAACAACTGCATTGTATCGGTATGTCCTCCTCTACAGGCCACGTGCAATGGAAACTGTCCACTTCTGTTACATTGAGAAACACAAGCGTTGCTTTTTAGTAGCAGATTCACTATATCTTTGTGTCCTCCTGCACAGGCAAGATATAACAGTGACTCTCCATCATGGTTACACTGAGAGAAGTCAGCATTGTTCTGCAATAACACACTAACTGTTTCTATGTGTCCTTCTCTACAAGCAACGTAAAGTGTAGGCTCTCCATTTTTGTTAAATCCAGCGTCATTGGAGTTTTTCTCTTTTGCGTCTTCTTGCAGCAGACCGTAATCTAAAACTAGAAAAACATGTCAGACATCAACTGAATTACAGACTTAGTACAGGCACATTTAGAATATATTGGTGTCAACATGTTTGTGGGCACTATACCAACCACATAACTTTGGATAAAGTTTTTTGCACATTACAACCATGTAAATTAGTTTGTAATAGCTTCATTCATCATATTAACACAAATCACAAACACTACTTACATAAAGACAAATTACACAAAATACCAATCAAAGAGTACTTCTTGATACTTAATCAAAACAAATGACAAAAAAAATAAATCATTTTTGTTTATAATCTGCACATTCCAAGTAATGTAAAGCTATTAAGTAAATCTTAGTCGACTTAGAATAACGGCAATAACACAAAAAGGATCAGTGTAAAATATTTTCGGAAATTGTTCAGCATTGAGTGCATTAAATCGTCAAACGTTTTTAAATCATACAACTACATACATGTATGACAGGTAATTTTTTGTCACGTTTCACGACATAATTACTTGCGAATTGAGTGACAACATTCATGGAAAGAATAATAATTATTATAAAAAGAAACATGGAAAACAATTATGCGATAATTTAACCGTTCGGACAAATCAGAAGGAATTCGATGAACAGAAGTCTATTTTAGTTGGTAGACGAATGCTTCCTATCAGTATACATTAAGTAAGTTAAAAATAAAACAATACAAATTGAACAACTAAACTTTTTTAAGGCCGAAAAGAGACCTATAGTTTTAACTCTACGTTCTTTGGACTCCAGTGAAGAGCTTTCATCATATTTGTATTTTTATACTTAGTGAAAACACAAATGACATAACATGTATTTTCGTATTCACCTGTTTCTCGGATTAAAAAACAGACAGAACCACGGAAGGTCAACTAAATTGGCCTGGATGAATTAAACATTTTTGTGTACACGACACGGTTAGAGTAAAAAGATGTAGGTGAAAGCGAGAGGCTGTTTCACTGCATTTAAACATATGAGGGTTAAAGTCACTTGATATCTTATTACATGTAGGTAAAATGTATATAAAACCAAAGACGCATTAAATGTTAGTCAGAATGACATTTAAGGTGTATGCGTCCGTGTATATTTGCGTCCATTCGTTTTTCATTTTGAAATATCAAAAATAAAAAACAAAGAACGAGAGTGTTTTCATTTTTCGTTTTTGATTTCTCAAAAACCAAAATGAAAAACAAAAGTGTTTTCATTTTTTGTTTTTGATTTCTATAAAACCAAAACGAAAATCAAAAGTGTTTCCGTTTTTCGTTTTTGATTTCACTAATAATGAATTTTGTATGTAATTTTAATTATTTCTCGTTTTATAATGTTCAATGTTTTCCTTTCTTGTTTCACAGTCATTGATAGTAAATAATGCCAATGTAAACACCCTGGTGTTCTTTCAACATAATGTAGATCAAATAGACCGCCTGACTTATGAATTGAACTACGGTGATAAATGAATCAAAGCCTTTCAAATTACCTTGTTTATATCTTTACTAAAAAAAAATTACTCTATTTAAATATTAAACGAATCATAAATTTAAATTGTACAATATAATATATTATATAAAGATGGTACAGATAGATAGATAGATTACAACATCACATTAACAAGGGAGGTTACTACTTTTAAAACTGATAAGAAGACTAGCCCAGTCGTTAAAGTATACATGCACAGCGGTTATCAGATCTATAATATTTAAATCGAAGTTAATGTCGACGGATGCAAAAGTCTTTATCAATCTGAACAATAAGGGTGTGTGATCTTTACTTTTAAGTTTAGAAAGGTTGATGATCTAAGATAATTAGAATTGATGACCAAGGTCCTTCTGCCAGTATTATACGAACATTCAGGACGATAATGTGTTTTGCTTGATCAATTGATTGAAAAACAAATTTGCGCAATTTCACAATTCAAACCGGGATTAGCATTTAATCATTTTGCCATTCGGAGCCTATTCGGTAGTAGTTTTGCTTATTTGTGAAAGCTATATGGTGACCTTAACTGGAGGGTGTGGATGGGGGTTTACGGAATAGAGAATAGTGGGCAAAAAATATAAATAAAAGAGACAATGAACCAAGACATAAAAAAATAGAATAATGAGGTGTATAAATTTGAATAGAACAAAATAATTGGTAAAAAGTAAAAAGAAATAAAGAATAGAGATAAATGGCCTAAAACACTAAGTAAAGAATAGAGAAAAATGGTATAACATGGAATACAGAAATGAAGAACCCCGCATCCAGACCATCGTACTAGTTGCCTAAACCAACGTTATTTTGTCTCCGGTAGATTGTTATTGGTTATCATACGTATTCTTTTTATTTCTATGCCTATCAATTAAGACGTGAGCTTTACATTATAAAAAATGACTAAACCGAACAACTCCCTGGATTTTTTCTCAAGTAGACCTCAGCTACCCACCCTACCACACCATTACCGAAAAGTTGATAAATAAATTTCTACGGCAATACTTTTGTCCGCACTAGGTGCAAAGCGAAGCTGGGTAGATGAGGTTTACAGTAGACAAAATCCATGGTGTTGTTCGGCTTAGTTTTTTTTTCTAAAGTAGGTCCAAAGTTGAGGTCGGATACCCTACCCAACCCTTCCCGAAAAGATAATAAAAAACATTCTACGGCAATACTCTTGTCCGCACTAGGTGCAAACGTAAGCTAAAGATCTAGCGCCTACTTGATCAAAATTCCTAGTTAAGGTATAGCACGGATTATTTTATTTAAAACTAATAAACAATTTCCTTGTCCACCATACTTTAAGTCCAAAAAGAAACCTTTCGTCCAATCCTAAGTAAGCGAAATTCACTGGTTCAGAAGTAGAATGTTTTGTCAAAACAGTTTTGTGTGGCAAAAAAAAAGTTAAAGCACGAGTGAAACTTTATTTTCTTCTAATGCAGAACAATAATTACTTTTCATGAACTATTTGACAGGATGCCGAGAATATGGAAAGCTGTTTCACACAATAGTGCAATTTTGCCAACATTTAAAATAATTTCATAATTATTAACGATTCTATATACACTCAAAGGTTTTGACTATTTAAAATGTAAAGCGTGCAGCACGCTGTGTGATATATTGAAAGCGATTTCTATTGCATTTATATAATTAATAAACAAGAAATGAAATTTTAAAATTTATTAAATAATGTCTTTGACTGCTTAATTATATATTGAAAAATGATAATATAGTGGTTATATATTAATAAAAACATCTGAAGAACGTTTGAATCTTATGCAACATTTGGGTTTATATAAATATCTGAAAACTGGCTGCTAGTGAAGTGGCTGCTAGCGAGTGGCTGCTTGCTTTAGCCTGGTCTTACAAACTCAGCATTTTCATTCACGTCTTCACATTACAGGTTGCAACACCTTGCCAGATTATTGGGTTCCAATAAACGTTTAGCAAATAATGCCAATGTGCTTTCCCATGGGGTTTTATGCAGAATAATTACCGGAAATCTATGGTAGTTTGCAAAATAATTGTCAAAATCGAAATCTTACTGAACAATGAAGTTACTCACATTGAAAAAAGTTGAGGCATTGAAGGCCAAATAAGTTTTCATATTTCACATTCTTGCGTGTCTAATTGTAATCAGACGGTAATTGAGTTCCAAGAAGATTACAAATTTATTTAATACAAAGGCAAAAAATAATGTAAAGTTTCATTGGTGAAATTAAGACTGAGAATGGAAATAAAGAATGTGGCAAAGAGACTACAACCCAACCAAAGAACAGAAAACAGCCGAGGGGTCTTCAACACAACGGGAAAATCCTGCAACCAGAGGCGGGCTTCAGCTGGCCCCTAAATAAAAATGTATACTAGTTCAGTAAAAATGGACGTCACACTAAACTAAAAATTAAAAAAAAACATACAAGACTAACAAAGGCCAGAGGCTCCTGACTTGGGACAGGCGCAAAAGTGCGGCTGGGTTAAACATGTTTTGTGAGATCTCAACCCTCCCCTATACCACTATAGCTAGCCAATGTAGAGTAAATAAACACACAGCAATACCCACAGTAAAACTCAGTTTAAAAGAAGTCCGAGTCCGATGTCACAATAGGTAACAAAATAAACTAAGCAAAATGACAATGATTTATAACTTAACAAAGGATTACTAGCAGTAACTGACATGCCAGCTCCAGACCTCAATTAAACCGATTGAAAGATTATGTCTTCATCACATGAAAATCAAGCACAACCCCTCCTGTGAGGGGTTTAGTATCATACCGTCATAAAATATATGAGAAGAAAATGACTCGTATAATGCCAACAACCGGTTTTAGAATTAATGTGGTTATTACCGATGCAAAAACCATATAAGTGAATCAATATTAATACCAAAATATGTCATCTTTAATGAGCCTCCTCATGGAGGTTTTGATTATGTGATTACTTGGCTGGTTTTTTTGTGTGATTATTTGATTACTAGACCAAATATTTCATGATTATTTGATTATCTAGGACTGTATTTTAGATTAATTAATTACCAAGTTTAAAAAATAAATTTGTGTGTATAGCGAACATATAAAATTTGGCTTGAAAGACGTCAATGTTTTTCGCCTCGCTCCGCTCGGAAAAATTGTTAACAATTAAATCCAAAGATTAAACACGTTTGTCCAGTAATCTTATTAAAATTTATACATATATTAATGTGCTCATACATATAAGTATAACGAAATCAAAGATATATCTTGTAATTAGATTGGTTCGTCTAATTAAGTATTTTTATCAGAAATAAAATTACTAACTTCTTTAATAAAGGATTTGAACAAGAATGTGTCCATAGTATATGAATGCCCCACTCGCACTATCATTTTCTATGTCCAGTGAACCGTGAATTTGCGGTCAGAACTTTAACTTGGCATCAAAATTAGAAAGAACATATCATATGAAACATGTGTACTGAGTTTCAAGTTGATTGGACTTCAACTTCATCATTTTTTGATGTCCGTCATATTTGTTTTTTGTTTTATTTTGTTATAAATTAGGCCGTTATTTTTCTCAATTGAACTTTTTCATATTTTTCATGTGAGGGCCTATTATACCTGACTATACTGTATGGTTTTTTTTTCATTGTTGAAGGCGGTACGGTTGCCTACATTGTATATATAACTGCTTACATCCACTTCATTTGAACTTTGGGGATAGTTGTCACATTGGCAATTATACCACATCTCCTTATTATAAAATGTTGAGGTGGTTGAAATTTGTATTTCTTAGGAAAGTTCCAATGTTGTCCTCCCAGGTCACCCAGTTTTAATTGGATATTTTCACATTTTGTTGTACCCTTGGATTTGTGTTTCGAGCCAACCAGAGCTTACTGCCTGTTGATGGGAAGTTGACGACCTATTGTGAGCTCTAGGTGTCTTTTTGTGTATTGCATATGGTGATTTGGTGATGTCTTCATGCCATTGTCCCATTACTTTGTATAGACAGCTTATAAGTCAACCTTATTTATAAAAGACGACAAATGATGACCAAAGCTCTACTGGGCTTTTGTATAGTCAGGCGAGAAACAAGATATAAACTGATTTGGCTTGTTATAAACATGTATATTTAGTAAACTCGTATAAATTCAAGTCAAATTAATATTTTAAGACAACAAAAAATATAAAAGTGTAAAAAAAAATGTTTTTAACAAATGTTGAAAATATTATTAGGGCCCCGCCGAATGGCGGCGCCCTATAGTGATCAGTCCGTCCGTCCGTCTGTCTGTTCGTCCGTCCGTAACAAATTGTGTACACTCTACATCTAGAGAACCGTTACGATTTCAAAGTTTATACTTGACAAGTATACTAACCAACACCAGAGGGTGTGTCATAATGTATGTACAAATTCCTAGGTCAAAGGTCAAGGTCAAACACCTGGGTTTCAGTTGAGAACCCCATGTCCTATGGTAAAGATCGTGTCCGCTCTATATCTTGAAAACCGTTACGATTTCAAAGTTTATACTTGACATGTATATAAACCAACACCAGAGGGTGTGTCATAATTTATGTACAACTTCCTAGGTCAAAGGTCAAGATCAAAAACATTGGTTTCAGTTGACAACCCCATGTCCTATGGTAAAGATAAAAACTTTTTAATGCACATTATTCACAGCGGGGCCCACAGAGATGGCTCCCATCTCAATGATATCTAGCTGTGTTTGAGAGTGGCCGTGGATAAAGGCATGTTTTATGGTCTGGGTTAAAAAAAAAAGTATTAACTTAGGATACAAATCCCTGCCCCACCCCCAGAGAATCAAATGATTGCTTCCTTGGGAACAATAGAGATTGCAGATGTTGAGAATGAATATCAGATAATATTTTTTTGTTCTGAGGCGACGTTAAAGGAACACCAATCAGTCAATCGATCTTTATGACTAAGGCTTCAGTTGTGTAATATTCCTTGTTGTAAAAGTTCATTTTCTGCTTTGCGTAGACTTAATAAGACTTGGAATGAATTTACGAAGAATAATGAACGGTCATGTGTGGTTTTGCAATTTTATATGCCTACCGATGTCTAGATATGATACGATGCTACCGGACATAGAAAAAACTGTCCCTTTTTCATGGAAATTTAAACTGTTACAGTATATTAAAGAATACAAAACTGGCTCTCTTTTCTGTAAATACAAATAAAAAGCGGACATGGGTTAAACTAAAGCTAGAAATCCCAATCTCCCGACATCAATTTATTTAAGGTAGCACTCCACAGTTAGAAAATAAAATTAAAATTGAACCACAAAATGTTTAATCATCTCCTATTCCTGGCTTTCTAATACATTAAGCCAACTGTTTGTGTCATACATGTGCATATGTATGTAATCAGTATCTTCCATAAATTTGATTTTCAGAGCTAAAATGGTGAAAAATAATTCCTTTTTTGTGTATTCATGGCAACATTCTGCATTTATTTATCGTAAAATATTGCAAAAAGGGGCATGAAAATGTCACATATTCCCCTAAATTTGGTTTAAACTAGAATTAAAATGTCTATGAGTAATACCTTTTCTGAAACTGTTGCCATTAATCTAACAAATGATCAAATAAAAATTGGGTGTCTTTCGCCTCATTTTTTTCGTAAAATTTAATCACAAAGTTCGTGCGACAAAAAGTTAAAAAAAAAAACTGCAATAATTGCCGGGCATTATGGATATGAAAATACTCATACAGAAAACAACCCATAATACATGCATTACACAAACTAGATGTTCCTATAAACCCACTACGAAGGCTATAGTAATCTTCAGCTATCCAAAAATGAATTTTATTGCACAATAGCTCTCATATTTGAAAAATTCACAGGGGCCAAAATGCGAAACTACACACCTAACTGTGGAGTGCTACCTAAAAAGACCATATATAGATATAAGAAGATGTAGTATGAGTGCCAACGAGACAACTCTCCATCCAAGTCACAATTTGTAAAAGAAAAACCATTCAAGGTCAAAGTACGGTCTTCAACAGGAAGCCTTGGCTCACACCGAACAGCAAACTACGAAGGGCCCTAAAATGACCAGTGCAAAACCATTCAAACGGGAAAACCAACGGTCTAATCTATATACTAAACGAGAAACGAGAACACTTATGAACCACATCAACAAACGACAACTACTGAACATCAGGTTCCCGACTTAGGACAGGTGCAAACAAATGCAGCGGGTTTAAACGTTTTAATAGGTACCAAATTCACCCTTACCCGAAACAATAGTGTTACATATGACCTTAGAATTTAACATTGAAGGGCTAAACTTGCATTGAGCCTTGTTTAGGCCCTAAATAGAAAATAGAGATGTGGAGTAAATGTGCATGGGACAACATCGCACACAATACATAGAAAAAATGAAAATTATCAATGAACAGGGCTTTTATTCCAGTTCTTCATCTTGAAAGTAGCCGGAGAGTCTTCAACGAGGCAACGAACCATTCATACCCTAAAAACAACAGCCTGACACCTGACTATGTGGATTACAATGTTTTGCTTTATCCTACATATTTCTTTTGGTGTTGTCCCTAAATACTAAAAGTCTTACACTGAATCTATATATTTTGATATATTGTCGAAAAAATATATAAAACAAAACTTGCGTTTTAGATTAAGAAAGGGTCCAAAAGAAACGTTCAGAATGCACGATTTTGCGTCATTTTTTCCAGATCTTTTGGGGGCCTTGAGCCCTAGACCCCTCGTCCAAAATATATTTTGCTTCACTTGTAATAGAGGCTAGTTACGGCCCTGTCTTATCATCTTAGATCAACCTTTCTAAACTTAAAAGTAAAGATCACGCACCCTTATTGTTCAGATTGATAAAGACTTTTGCATCCGTCGACATTAACTGCGATTTAAATACTATAGATCTGATAACCGCTGTGCATGTATACTTTAACGACTGGGCTAGTTTTCTTATCAGTTTTAAAAGAAGTAACCTCCCTTGTTAATGTGATGTTGTAACCAATCTATCTATTTGTACCATCTTTTTATAATATTATATTGTACAATTTAAATTTATAATTCGTTTAATATTTAAATATAATATTTTTTTTAGTAAAGATATAAACAAGGTAATTTGAAAGGCTTTGATTCATTTATCACCGTAGTTCAATTCATAAGTCAGGCGGTCTATTATATTTACAATATGTTGAAAGAACACCGATGTGTTTACATTGACATTATTTACTATCAATGACTGTGAAACAAGAATGGAAAACATTGTAAATTATAAAACGAGAATAATTAAAATTACATTCAAAATTCATTATTAGTGAAATCAAAAACGAAAAACGGAAAGACTTTTGATTTTCATTTTGATTTTTGAGAAATCAAAAACGATGTTTTTGATATTTCAAAATGAAAAAACTAATGGACGCACATATACACGGACCTGTATGCCTCCTAATGTCCAATTATATGATTGTTGGTAGTTACCTGTGAGTTGCCACTCAGTATCCGAAAATGGAAAAAGGATATGAAACATGAATTTCTTTGAAAATTTTCTTTTCAATTAATTATTATATCATTTTCGGTTTCTCGTTAGAATAGTTTTAGTAATGTCGGGGCCTTTAATAATTTACTTTACGACATGGATTTGGCAGTTGTTGAAGGCCGCACGAGACACGTGACTTGCTTACATCAACCTTCGTTAATCTCTGAAGGTTGGTTGTATTGCATTGTCAATCATACTTCATCTCCATATCTTTTAACAATTGATAAAATAGATAGTCATTACTCTGGACTCGTCAAGACGAATTATGGATTATGTTGGAAACAGTAAACACTAACAACTATTATCATATCAAAAATCTACTAGCCAAATTCTAATTATATTTACTATATCACAATTGTAAAGTGTTGCTTCATAGTTATATTAATGGAAAAATTAAAAAAAAAATAAAGTCTTCATTGAAATTCATCTTCAACTTAAAATATTTGTACCTCGAATATCATTTGGAATTAGCTGGTCATCTTGTGTTTGTATGTCTATATCTGTCTTCGGGTTTTCTACAATTAAAACAAGATAATTACAATATACATGATATACAAATAACGTACTTCAAAATTAATTTCATGTCAATTTCACTCTAGGACTATCTCAATGTACAAAAATGTAACACCGAAAAGAGATAGTAATAAACATTTTTTTATTCTAACCGTAACTTTATTGATATGACACATTGTATTCATAAATATGAATTCGAATAACTCTGCAGAATGAAAGCAACCAAACTAAATGTAATTTGGTGGTAGAAAATCGAGCGCCAAAAATATTTATCAAAGATATCAGGCGTATTATGATGAACGCAAATCGAACATTTGCCTACAAATGAAAAGAGTCGTTCGGGACGCTAAGTCTTAAAGGTTGAAAGGCCAAAACATGTATAAACGTAATAGCCTTCAGGTATCAACAATTCGAAAGGTTTTGTCAAAAAACAGGTTATATTTCCGTTTTATCTATTTCTAGTATAGAACATCCTTAGTATTTCGAACAATTCAAAGTTTTGTAAACAAATGATTTATAAATAACATACAAGCCACATGTGTCAAGAGCCTTGAAAGAATAAGGAACCGTTTTGAATTATCTAATTGCTTTTATATGATTTAACCGAATTACAGTTTAGTCATCATGGGGAAGCTGTCGTCGAAAAATAGAAATGGAAATAAAAGTTACCAAGTAGTAAATATCAAATTTAGTTGAAATGTTATAACAATTTCACACAAATCCGTCAACTGTTTTTTTGAAAGTTCAATAAAACATGATAAAAGTATGAAATCAATTGAATCATCATATGATATATTTTTCTCATAAATTAAGAACTGCTGAGGTAAATGTAATTACAACAACAACCATAGAATAAAAGTAAGGAAAAACAACTAGAGGTTAGCAATAATTAATTCTGTCATCGTACTTTGACGTCTTTTGAACGAGTGTTACAGTGCGTTTAGCGGCCAACTGAATTATTCTATTCCGTTTTGCGTTTATTACCAAGAAATGCAATTATGAGATAAATGTATTGTATTTTAAGCGCCGACGGCACCAAATGCTGATTTGATGGTCGCTAATTAAGTTTACTGGCGACGCGTTATCTCCATTCTAATGAAACTGACAGAAGACAATTTCATACATTTAAAATGTCTGTAAAATTTCAAAATACAAAATTCTTTAAAAAACGAATTAGAGGTACCCAATTTCCAACTCGTTAACTTTGCCGTTCTTTTATGCATGGCTAGGGACTCTGCTTTAATGAATAGCTTTTGAATGGTACTAAAATGGGAGAGCATAGAATTTCAGGTGTAAGTATTCTTAAAGGCCGAAAAATTTCGTCCGAAACATTAAAAAAAGCCTAAATTCCATAAATTACGAACATTCAAACTGCTTGTCGCGGGAGTTCTTTCTGGCTAGGGATTAAGAATTTGCGTAAAATGAATAGCTATTGGATAGTTCTACAACAAGATAGCAAAGAGTTTCTGTGGTAAGCATTTTTAAAAGCCAAAAGCCAAAATTTTTCGTTCAAAACATAGTAAAAAAGCCAAAATTCCATAAAATACGCGTTGGGTGTATCAGCTTTCCAACTCATTGTCTAGGGAGTTCTGTATGACTATTTGTTATAAACCCTGCTTTGATCAATAGCTCTTGGATAGTACTGCAACGGGATAGCAAAAAATTTCTCGGGCACTAATTCTTAAAGGCCGAAAAATTTCGTCCGGATCATAGAAAAAAAGTCAAAATTCCATGAAATACGTACTCTCCAACTACTTTTCTCGGCAGTTCTTTATGGCTAAGGATTATAGACTCTGCTTTAATGAATAGCTGTTGAATTTTACTAAATTGGGATAGTAAAGAATTTCCGGGTTAAGCATTCTTAAAGGGGTAAAAATTTCGTTCGAAACATTGAAAAAGCCATACAAGAGAGACGAAAGATACCAGTCAAACTCATAGATCGAAAACAAACTGACAACGCCATTGCCAAAAACAAAAAGACAAACAGACAAACAATAGCACAGATGACACAACATAGAAAACTAAAGACTAAGCAACACGAACCCTACCAAAAACTAGAGGGGTTATCTCAGGTGCTCCGGAAGGGTAAGCAGATCCTGCTCCACATGTGGCACCCGTCGTAATTCTATAAAATACGCATTGAGTGTACCCACTTTCAACATCATTGTCCCCGGTGTCATTTATTTCTAGGGATTATAGAATCTGCTTTAATGAAAGTCCATTAGCATAGTCCTACAACGGGATACCAAAGAATGTCTGTGGTAAACATTCTTAAAGGCCGAAAAAAATCGTCCGAAACACAGAAAAAGCCAAAATTCTATAAAAGATGCATGGGGTGTACCCATTTTCAAACTCATTGTCTCGGAATTTCTTTATGGCTAGGTAAATAAAGACTCTTTCTTAATGAACAGCTGTTGGAAAGTAGTTTTTAAATAGGATTGTAAAGAATTTCTAGGGTAAGCATTCTTAAAGGTGTAGAAATGCGTCCGAAACATTAAAAAAGGCCAAAATTCTATAAAATACATATTGGGTGTACCCACTTTCTAACTCGTTGTCCCGGGAGTTCTTAATGGCTAGGGATAATAGACTACTTTAATGAATAGCTATTGGATAGTTTTACAACGTGATAGCAAAGAATTTCTGGGATATGCATTCTAAAGGCCGAAAACAGCAGACTCATCTTATATTTTCAAAGATTCCATTGTTCGAACCTTAGTAATGTTTACGCCTGAAATCCAAATTATATCTTATGTAGTAGTTTCTAACATTATTTTTCACTAGAAATAATTGTCCCAATCATACTGTGAAATGACTTTCCATACTCTCAGCATTCTTTGAAGTAGTTTCTTAAAATTACAATATGTCTATGTTAAGTGAGTAAATGCTGTTATCTATATTTTAACAAATGTTTTGTAAAACAAAGTTGTATGATTGTAATACGCCCTGTTTGTATCAGTGGCTTTCGCTTTATTTTCATTAGATGATGGGTGCATTTTTTGTTATCAAAGTAAGGCAAAAGAAAAGTAAAACATTTGCAAAAAGGGTTCTAAAGCTAATTAGTCTGTATTGCACGTGAAAATTAATTTAAACCAAAATTTTACATTTTTCAGTTGTTAATATGAGTAGGAAACTCGCAAATCTGGAATGAATAGACGGAAATATGAATAATGTCTGGGATTAAATATATTGCAATTTATTGAAATCCTCAACACGATTTTGATTTTCTATAGAAATTTTTTTTTGAACCAAAAACGTCAAAAAACATGATTTTGAAAAAAAAATAAAAGTGTCGCTCAAGTAGTTTTTCGAACGCATTTGCAGTATAATGAATTGCAGGATAGCTTTTCATAAAGAGAATTGCTGGATATCTTTGCACTAGTTATATGTTAAGGTATATTACATGATGAACACTATGACAAAAGACTAGCGTATAGTCATTCATGATCCAGAAAACCCCCGAAAAGTATGACTTTAAACCATTAAAAGAAATATACTAATAAGAGTATCAATATATTATGCACTTACTATGGATTGGAAAATGTTGTCGTATATTTCTCTCTAGAATATAAGTTCCAACAACACCGACTGGAAAATAAAATCTTTTATTAAACATGTTAACGTGGTATTTAACATTAGATTGCTACATATGGAAATAAAAGCAACCCAAAAAACTATTATTTTTTTTTTCAATTAATTTAAAAAGCAATTGATAAAAAAAATTGCTTATAAAATATTGGTTCATATCTTTATTGTGTTTTTGTAATACAATATATGTGTGTAAAATTTAAATGTTATACATGTTATCAGGTGTTCTACACATTGATATCGTTAAATATCAGCCACAAGCACAAAATGAAACTTTTTAAACTGGGCACAACGAACGAACAAAAAAGCGTCATATTATGTCGAGCGGCTGATATTTTTCAAAACATGTATCTACCGATTCTCTGTTTATCGTGCTATCCAACACACTGTGACGTTGTTGATAAGGCCTCCTCAAACGATACGACATCGCTGATACGTTGAGCTCACTTCTGAAAGTCTTGATACGAAAAGTTTTGAGCAACACAACAGGATGATAAAGGCAAAGGGACAGACGATATGATTTATTATATGAACATGAGAGTTATGCGGATATGCAATTGGAATAGGTTATAAGCAGGATGTTATCAATGATTAGATAATAATCATAGTTTAGACTATGAGTGATAAACATAGTTAAAGATCATAAACATAAAATAGATTAGGAGCCTGTTGTTCAGTGGTTGTCGTTTTTTTTTTTTTGGTGTGGTTCATACGTGTTTCTCGTTTTTATATAGGTTAGACTGTTGGTTTTTCCTGTTTGAATTGTTCACATTAGTTCTTTTGTGGCCCTTTATAGCTGGCTGTTCTTTGTGAGTCATGGCTCTGTGTTGAAGGCCATACTTTGATCAATAATTGCTTACTTTTTATATATTGTGACTTGGATGGATAATTGTCTCATTGGCATTCGTGCCACATCTTCTTATTCATATGTAAGTGATAAAAAGATTTAATATTATAATTGATATAGACAAATGTAGATATTTAGTTTACTGGAATGAGGAAACGAGACAGAAAAAAAAACATGGTTTTTTATTCATTACATTCATCAAGAAATGAAGCTTAAAAATCAAAACACATTATATCAGAAGGTTAAAAGCTTAAACAATAAAAGAAAGAATTGGATTTTAACGGCTAAAAAAATTAAAACAACAAGTTATAAATTTCATGCATCCGAAGCGCTTTTCTGTATTTACCTCTATCGGGAAAGCTCAAACTGGAATTTTTAAAAGCCAAGAATGTATAATAATTTCATTACATGAAGAGCTAAAGATTCACAACCGGGTAAGATTGACATTTATGTTCCTTATTTGTTTATATACTAGCTTATGCTATATAATCATAATTTACAGAATTAAAACAACAATTAAATTGTCATTCAATTCTTGAATTCGAATCAAAAGGATGATCGTAATATTTCTATATTTGGTAAAGACCATGGTAATTAGGTTTCGACTGTGAATAATGCATAAAGAATGTTATTCATATGTTGAGAAAAATACATATGTTGAGAAAAATTCATATGATGTTGAAATGGTTAAGAATGTAGTACTTTTTTAATAAAAATAACAATATAAAGGCATACAATAAACAATACACTGCAAGAACAGAAATATTACAGTTTTTATGGAACCTTGAGTTCATTGTTAAAGAAAAAAATATTTATTTTAGTGAGGTGTTTTTTCCACCGATAATACACATATTTTGTTATAGATCAATCAATCTAACAGATCGGTTTACACTTACACTGTATTTAAAAATTTATCTGAATCAAATTTTAGGGTTGAATTGAAAATATACGTTACGTTGAGATCATTCGATGAAACTTTTCTTTTAGGTGAAAGAAAAAACGTATAAGTGATTCAAAATCATAATTGATATATATTTATTTCAATTAACTTACCGAGGGACAATGCAACTGATATTAAAACACATACGATTGCTTTGGTACGATATTGTTCTGCAATAATACAAAATACATAGAAATTGAGTGCATTGGTCTACTTTTAAAGATTCAATGTTATAATTGATATATTTTACATAGTTTAGTGCACACCATATTTGTATTCAAATATGTAGATATGTATGTATTCAAATATGTATTATTCAATCAAATATTTATGTGTTCAAATATTCAAATAAGAATGTGTTCAAATATTCAAATATGTATGTTTTCAAATATTCAAATATGCATGTATTCAAATACATGAATATATGTATGTATTCAAATATATGTATATGTGTATGTATTCAAATATGTATATATGTATGTTTTCAATTAGTCAATCAAATATGTATGTTTTCAATTAGTCAATCAAATATGTATGTGTTCAAATATTCAAATAAGAATGTGTTCAAATATTCAAATATGTATGTTTTCAAATATTCAAATATGCATGTATTCAAATATGGCAAATGATACAGCCATCTTACCGATTTATTAGCAACCTGAAGGGGTTCTAAAGATAGTATTTCACACTTCATCTGGCGCATATAAAGTTACCAGAATGCATCAAAATCAGTTGTATAAGACGATATTGTCAATAATAACCAATGAATCAACACTAACGGCAGAAATTAACAAATCAAAAAACATTCCTAATAAATGATAGAAATATATCCTTTTTTACCGTTAAAATTTTCCGCAGATCGAAATATTAAGCAAGATATGTTCTTCCAAAACCATTTTGCATAATTGCTGCTAACTATAAGTAGTTGATAAGTTATTTCATATAAACTGAAAAAAAAATATGTTTAGGACCACCAACATTTTCAAGCAGAGTGATCAATTATTGTAGTGTTGTATATTGGTGTTTCGGTTTATTTTTCGTAAGATTGAAAATAGATGTAAAAATTCATTAATTTGCATTATATGATATTAGATTGATTCTAGAAAAATACTTAAAAAAATCAGGTTTGTTTAACATTCTATGGCATGGCTCAGCAAAGTCATACGACCATCCAAATCATCTACGGCTATGTAAGGAAATATTTCAGAATAGCTGAAACTGTTACATTCTTTGAAAAATCTATCATAATTCTTGAATTCATGTCAACCTTTCCATGCTATCAATAAATGGACTTCGATAAAATTTATAACATGATTACTGAATTTCAAAATCTAGCAAAGCATCTAATTGAGAATGAAATCGGGGAATGTATCAATATGACAACAACCCAACCAAAGAGCAGAAAACAGCCCTAGGCCACCAACACAGAAAGAACATTCTACAACCGCAGGCGGGCGTCAGCTGACTCCCGAAAAAAATGTGTACTAGTTCAGGGAAAATGAACACACGAAACATATAAATAAACCAAAATTAAAAGAAAACACACAAGACTAACAAAGGCCAGATGTTACTGAAAGTCGCCAACATGTGGCGAGATTAAACATGTTTTATGAAATCTCAACCCTCCGCATATACTTCTAGCCAATGTAGAATAAACAAATAAACAGCAATACGCACAGTAAAACTCAGTTTAAAAGAAGTTAGAGTCCGATGTTAAAATAGGTAAAAGAAAAACCTAGGCAAATTGATAATGATCAACATAAGTTAATAAAGGACAATTAGCAGTTACTGACATGCCAGCTCCAGACCTCAATTAACCTTAATGAAAGGTTATGTATTCATCGTTTGAAAATCAAGCACAATCCCTCCCGCTATGGGTTTAATATCGTACCATTACAAAATTTACGAAAAGAACATAACCCGTATCATGTCCACAATTTGTTGTAGAAAAAATGTGTTTATTTCCAATGCGTAGACCCTATGGGCGCATTAATGTTAATTCCACAAAATGCCATCTGTAATGGCCTGACAGTATCGAAATTGTTATACACATGTAAGTTTTTTGAAAATTTGAGAAATCGAAAATTAATGGAAAAAGTCGTATATGACTTTGTTTATATGTTTGTCATGTTTGTAGACTAACCAAAAGTGATTTGTATTCTCAAAGTACACTTTACACCCATATAAGATCTTATCAGTATTTATCCTGCTTTAATACTGCTTATATTTTTTGCACCACTATATATGCTTGTTTGCCTTATCAAGTTTAAACTTACGTGTAGGACAAGCTATATTGTATTTGTAATTGTCGAAGTCAAAAATCTTTATTTCTTTGGACATATTAAACCTAAAAAGACATATTAATAAGGTTACTTGCTAAATTTGTTGAAAAAAAATAAGAAACTTGACTTTAAGTTCTATATATTTTTTATTTACGTCCACTCAAACTTCGATTAATAGAGGGCGGCAGATTATCTATTTCGGACTTTGGTGTCTCAAACTCTCAAATTCTTAAACTCAAGCGCACTGGGTATTTTTTCACTCTCGTGAATTGCGGACTGATATTATTATTATATGTTTACATATATAGGCTTCAGCTACTTATACATTTTCACAGTTATGATGTATTACTTTAAGATGGCACTTATAAGAGGTGATGTGGTATAGTTGCCACATGTAATATCTAATTAATTTAAAATGACATATATATAAACAACTTTTGTTCTCCATACGGCCTTTTACAATGAGCATAATCAATGCCTACCTTATACGTAAAGGCAGTCACAGAGTACCCCGACATGGCATACAAACGTTCGTTGTTGCTCTTTGTAGAAGGCCTACGGTGGCCTATAGTTTTAAATTTCTGTATCATTTGGTCTATTGTTGAGAGTTGTCCCAAAGACAATCATACCACATTCTTCTTTTATATAGATTTATAACATTACATTTAACGAGAAAAAAATTTGACAGACACGAACCAATGACAACAACTGTATAACAGGCTTCTGGTTTGGGATAAACACGTGACGAATCTAGCAGAGGTTATCTAATTTCATGTATTTGTAAGCGTTCGACTTTCCCCAGTATGTCAAATATGTAAATTACAATATTAGAACAAAAAGTAAACATACTTCTTCATTTTTCTCTTTCGGCTAGTTTGTTTGTCTAAATTGCTATGCATACCTACCGAATTACTTGCAATTTGTAGACACTATTTTACTCGATATACTTCGAGGGTGTTTATCGTTTGTTTTGTTTCAGTATTTTGTAGTGAAATAAACTCATCATAGATACCAAGATTGAAATTTTGCACGCCAGACATACATTTCGTCTTCAAATGACTCATCAGTGTCGTGACGTGACGTTCGAATCAAAAAAAAAATTTAAAAGCCAAATAAAGTACAAAGTTGAAGAGCATCGAGGACTCAAATTGCCGGTCATGTTATGGCAACCTTGTAGATCATATGTTGATATAGTGTTCTTAAAAGACAATGTCTATACATGATGGAAGTTATTTTATTCAATACTTCGTATTACATTTTCCATATGGTGGTTATTCAAAGTGGAAGGAAAGATAATCAAGAAGAACGCTAATATTTTAACTATTTTTGACTGTTTATAACCAGTAATCCTTAATTCCGACCACCCTATAACTATTATAGATAGGTTTACTTATAAAATATGAATACCAATGATACAGAAGGACTTGTTCATTTGAGCATAATGACGACATGTATGTATTTCTATGTTTTTGAAATGCCATGTAGTCTAACTTGTGAACTGAAGTAGACATATCGAATATTGAATAAGCATAAATAGACGACACCTGAAAATTGATATGATTTAAGGATTGAATAAAATTGAACTTACGTATTTCCACGTGACTGGCTTGGTGTTATGTTTATTTCTTCATAGTATTTAAAATCTGCGAAAAAGAATTTCGTTACGTCAACAAAGTCATCTTTACAAAATCGCAGAAATTATCTTAAGGGTAATTTCAGATCTACCTTTTGGTAGCTAGCTTGTAAACAGAAACCCTCTATTAGGGCAATACTGACAAAAATGCCAGATCTAGAATGTCGAATCACTTAAAAGATATTAAAAGCTCCATATGATTTTTATTATCGATTTTGCTTAATAATTGTTGAAACTTCAAAACGGGAAGAGTGTATTTATCTCTTTGATGGTAAAATTGAAATATCAACAAAACCCCTTCATAAGATGTATTTTTTTATTTCATGGTATGAGGCAGTCGTAATTGTTTTTAGATAAGAACTCGTTACTTAAAGTTCAATTGGATAAATACAATCAACATAATCATACGCTGTGAATTATTCAGAATTGATTATCAAAAAGACACCGATAAACTATCGAACACTTTATTTACCAAATTATGTTTATTAATGAGTTATCTTTGCACGATTGATTATATTTAAGATTTCATGAAAATAGCAATATCATCTCGTTGAATAAACAGAATTAAACACATGGTCAACATGAAAAAAACTATGCCAAAATGCATATTTTCTCATTCTTTTCTCAAATGAAATTCATAGCTCCACACAAGTCACGGAAAGGCTTTTGTAAAAATGAAAGGAAGCAAGTCTTGGCCAATGATATCTTTGACGTTTTTCTATGAAGTGAACGTGTAATATACCTTTTTTTAAATATTGCAATGTATCGATTAAAAAAATTTTTAAAATGAAATATGCACATGGTAATATTTTGAAAATAAGTTAAAATCTAAGAAAGAAGCCCCATCATTGCCACATATGGAAACAATCCAAAATATCCTGTTTACCTTCCATAATTGAGATTTCTATTGCTTTGCAGTATTTTACACTTTTGAAATTAATAAATTTCGAAAACAAACGTTTTATTTTACCTATCGAGCCAATTGTGTTTTTCTTTGGATTAGTGCCCATATGACAAGAGCAATCTTCATTTGAGGGATTACAGTAGTTATGGTTTTTAGGCTCCTTCACATATGTATATCCTCTATCGGTATTACACTTGCATGTTCTGTCGGATTTTGTGGTGCCGTTGTCATACGTCGATTGGCCTTCACTGTTGCAAACAGATTTCAGAAACGTGCAATCGCTGCTCCCAATCGTATCAAAAATAAAAGGCTGATATCGAGTAACATTGCATGATGCCCTATTCAAGTTTGGCTGATAAACGTATTTATATCCTACAAATAATACTTAATTAGTGATCAGTATACATGACTCTATGATTGAAAATTGGAAAATATCATTTGAATTTATCTGTCATTATAAAAATCGGGTATATTAAATTTAACTTATCCCAGAGATAATGAATACGCGTAATAGTAACGAATGACTGCTATATTTTGAACCAAAAACTATTTTCTTTAATCTTTGATAAGAATGCTGTTATCTGAAAACAGAAGATTGTATTTGTTAACTATTCTTTATAGAGTGTTTCAAAAGAGGGGTGAAAGAAACGAGTCCGTTGTAGATGAAAAACACTGAATATAAAGGTTTCTACTGAAAGTTTAACAATGTTCAAATATAGATAAGTTTTAAATGACATACCAGGAGCTAGAATTCTAGGTCTATAACATTTATCTTTGTATACATTTACTCGAAAAGTCACGTCATATAAGCATATATAGGAACTTGGAGACTTGCACATCGATTTGGCCCGGAACCACCAGTGTGCCTTCGTTGGACAAGAGAATTCGAATGCTCCATTCAAGGACAATACCTATAAAAAAATAAATTAAAATATATTAATAGTTTAATCTAGATTATAATGATGAAACCTAATGCCGATATAATGTAGAGCAAAATCGAGAGACGGAACAAGAAGTGTGAGGGAGATTTATTCTATAATTTGAATTGATTCAGATAACTTTATAACATAAAAATTAAAAACACAACCCAATTTCGTATATTCATGGCTGTACCAAAGGACTGTTTATTCCCTTTGGGGACAAACAATACATCAACAAAGGTGTCGATCATTTGGTACTATTAACATCAACAAACGTATCGATCTTTTGGTAGTATTAACATCAACAAACGTATCGATCTTTTGGTATTATAAGCATCATCAAACGTATCGATCTTTAAGTAGTATTAACATCAACAAACTTATGGATCAATTGGTAGTATTAACATCAACGATACCATTTTACTGCACCAGATGTGCATTGCGACATATGACATATAGTTCTCTTCAGCGATACTCGATATATCGATCCAAGTAATAGTTATAACATTAACGGTACCAATTTTACTGCACCAGTGTGTAGTATATATAGTATTTGTAAGAACACAGCGTAATGTTAAAATAATTTTACATGTAAGCAATTGCCCATTCAAATTAGGAATATCTAAAAAATGTAATTTTTCTGATGTTTAGAAACATGCATATGTTTGAAATCTGTACCTGATAAATCTTCCCCATGGTACTATGAAATTATTTATATATCGTTTATGAGAGCAGATCCCTTTTTTGTTGTTAAACATCTTATAATTACACAAATTTTAAGTACTAAATTGTAACTACACGAGCTATGAGGTCATTTTTTCTTCTAGCATAAACCTGCATTTGGCATCTGTGAAATTTTGACCTAGACCTCATTTTGAATTGAGAAAGCTGAAAACTCATAGAATAAGCGAATGCAATGTACAAATCGAAAAAGAAACATAATATCTTTAAGTACCAAACAATTCTGTAAGGTCCAAATATTTCGAAATATTGAGATTTAGAATTGGAAAACACAAACTCAAATTTAAGGATCAAATCTTAAGTATTCATACCTGAACGAAAACAAGGAAGATAAATATGACATTCATTACTGAAGAATTCTTCTTTTCATTTTCTAAAAAGATTAGAAATAAAGAGAATATTATACAACTAGCTGAACATTCAATTCATTTGGGTAATGTCATTACCTTTTAACGGAATATATTTATATTATCACTCGTGTTGGTCTGGTAATTATTAAGAAATACAATTGTTTGTCTATACATATTACCAGACCAGGTGTGCTCGCTATCAAAATTTCGTATTGTCTTGACCAGATTCAATAAATACGTCGAAGTGTTAATGATTGGAATATATTGAGATTTAAACTCCTTTGTCTAACATTGAGGATTACACAGGTTGTTGAGCAGTAACACATCGCACGATCCCCGCGCAGGCGAATGTGAAAGATCTTTCTATAATTGAATGTCCAATTTAAACTGCTAAAAGTGCAAATAATAGAGGTATTGTAAAAAAAATACAAAAATACCATGCATGCAAATTTTAAAAAAAATATATAAATCTAGCTATGTTGTTGAATATAAAATAACTTAAAAGCAGCATTAATAAAATGAAGTCGTTCCCGTCTTTCCTCTTTCTCTCCTAGGTTTTCTTTGAAACCTTAATAATATCTCTCTATTCCATTATTTCTGTTATTTATCATACATGTTAAGCAGGATCTGCTTACCTTTCTGGAGCACCTGAGATCAACCCCAGTTTATGGTGGGGTTCGTGTTGGTAAGTCTTTTTTTTTTTCTATGTTGTATTATGTGTACTATTGTTTGTTTGTTTTTTCTATTTTTTAATGGCATTTTCAGTTTATTATCGATTTATGAGTTTGACTGTCCCTCTGGTATCTTTCGCCCCTCTTTTAAAATAATACTCATAGTTAAATAACTGTTGAAACTAATGTCTATGGTTATTTTGTTTGTACATCTATGCCTTTTGTATCTTGATCATCTTTCTATAATACAAATTTCAGAAGATTATTTCTAATTATGTAATAATAATATTCATTGCCTGCACAGGCCTTCTTGTATATCTTTATTCTTGCCAACTAGACCAAGTTATGTTAACAGGATGCAAAGAATATATATTAGATTTCTGATGTAGAAACTTGAACGTACCTCTTTGAACTGCAAATACACTTTACATATCATGTATTTGATATACTTGCAAACCTTCTCCTATATGATGTCATTTTGTTAAAGATATATAAATGAATGATAAAGATTTGCAGGTCGTTTGCAAGGAGAAGAAATCAATATTTTTAAATCTCATTCATTACAATATCTATGCATGTCTTAATTCATTTGAACAGGTAAACATTTGATAAGAAATACTTTTCAATTCTATTTTTAGCCAAGTCTAATACAAAATGTCTGTAGCAAAAATTACGATTACAAAAAGGATTTTGTCAAAAGTGTTCCTTTGGTGATTTTGAAATCATATAATTTAATAGTTCTTGATAGGTAGCTAGATAGTTTGAAAGCAGTATACAGGCAATAAAATAGATGTGAACTTCAGTTGGCCCCTAATACAAAAATTTGGACTAGTTCAGAATCCATTTAGGTTTGAACATTATTCTAGAAAATATCAAAATAAAACAAGCATAAACGATGAACATTCTGAAGCAAAAGGACATCATGAATTTACGAAAGCTGAAAACGGGTGTATTCTAGTTATTTGTTTGCTGGTTATACTCTCCTCATTCCGAAGCAGAAGATACATTGTTTTACTCCCCGTCTCTCCGTTCATGCGTCTATTCGCACGTCTATATCTTCTCTTCTGTTAAAGACATTTTTGTCACATTTAGGATAAAAAAATCAGAGCTATGTGAAATTTTATTACCAAGCTATATGTGAGAATATTTGACTGTGTAACATGGTACCAGATTCCCTGCACTTCAACTGATTACGTAAATGTTCTTGCACATTATGGCATATTGGTCATTTTCATCAATAACTACTGATATATATATAGCGGCCTGGTATTTGTTATCAGAGTTCATGTGAACATTCACATTGGTCTCTCATCAACTTTCTGTTAAACGTTTATTTATACAGGCTTACATATAATGACAATCGGTCACATTTTCCGCAGAAATTACTCATCAGAGTATCATGAAACATGTGAAAGTTCAAATTAGCATTTTTAGATGTTTTAATGCTTAAATTTTTGAAGCGTGTAATTTTCCACTGCTCTTTATATTTCTGTTTCCCGAATCCTAATAGCTGAAGTATCATTAGTGAGAAAAAAAATCACAGTTCAATCTGTTTATACCATTCTTAAACATGATAGTATATGCTGATTGATATTTCAACGAAAATGGTTGAAAATATAAAATGGCAATGTGGTATGATTGTCAATGAGACAAATAGGTAGATGTGGTATGATTGTCATGAGAAAACAAGAATGTGCTGTATGATTGTCAATGAGACAAATAAGTAGATGTGGTATGATTGTTATGAGAAAATAAGGATGTGTGGTATACATGGTATGGCTGTCAATGAGAAAAATAAGGAGATGCTGTGTGATTGTTTATGAGACAAATGAGGAGATACTGTATGATTGTTTATGAGACAAATAAGGAGATGTTGTATGATTGTTTATGAGACAAATGAGGAGATGTGGTTTGATTGTTTATGAGACAAATGAGGAGATGCTGTATGATTATTTATGAAACAAATAAGGAGATGTTGTATGATTGTTTATGAGACAAATGATGATGTGTGATATGATTGTCAGTGAGAAAAATAAGGAGACGTGGTTTATTTGTAAATGAGACAACTTTAAACTATGCAACGTACTTTTTTTATTTTTGATCTTTTGTTCTACAAAGACATTAATCAGCTACATTGCTGTAATTACATACCCCCTTTGAGGCAAAATTGAAGATTTTTAGTATATTTGTACCAATTTAATTTATGTGTTTTTTATCTCTGAAAAAATACATATTGTTGTTCGTGACGACAGTTTTCGATTTACATTTTTATCTATCTTTTGCTGTTCTATCAGTTCCATTTGGGACATAGTTAAAATATGGATTTTAGAAAAAGGGCAATTGTAGATTTAGCCAAAAAAATATTACAAGCAGTAGTCATTTATTCCATATTGAATTCTCAACTGAGACAGAAAGTGCTCTCTCTCTCTCTCTCTCTCTCTCTCTCTCTCTCTCTCTCTCTCTCTCTCTCTCTCTACGTAATGTTTTGGTGTTATATTCACTTTTCTCATTATTATAATCTATTTACCTTTTCAATTGGAACCCGTTATTCCAACATCGACACTAAGGTCTCCTGCAGCATTTCGGAAAATGACCCACTGATTTGGTAAACATACACTATTCGTTTCAAAAGTTGATCAGATTTTAACAAGAATTATCGATTTAAAAATACACATTCTGTAGATAACACTGTTATTTGTCGTATAGCTATTTAACTTTAATGACATAAAGAAATTACTGCATGTAATCGGCAAATTGAAAATCTTAACATATATTTTGTTAACACATATCATTATACAAGTAAAACATTACAACAAAAATGCAAAGCCCAAAGGCAAAGGCTAAAATGGGAAGTTCATAAAAATGACAAAATTAAACACTGTCGATCAACGGAACAAGTAAATATCAACTGTCATATTCCTGACTTCGTATAGGCATTTTCCGACGAAAACGGTGGGTAAAACTTGGTTTATAGTAAGCAATGCATTTTAGTCTTGAATGACATTTTTATCTACAACATCATCTAAATTTTCTGACATATTTGTGTTCAACTTTTATCATAATTATATGTTAACACTGAACTACACACACATATGAATGGTTATAATGTTCGTTCTTGTTAGGAAAGAAATCAAAGTTTGACTAAATTATGCATAAGTGACAATTTTGTTTTATTTGAATTTCAAAGTCTTTATGTTTAATATTCTAAAATAGTATTATCTGA